CACGGCGGGGGCCCCTGCAAGTGAGCCTAGGAAAGGTGTCGGTGCCAGGCGGAAGCGCCTGCCTGCCGGGCACTAGGAGTCGCCACAGGCCCCGGGGCAAGCGGGTTGGTGCTGGAGCAGAGCGCGGGGGAGCTGGGCTCGTGCTGGTGGGCGGCGCTTGAGCCTCGTGCTGGGCTGCGTATCCCTGCTCCCGGCGCCGGGCGCTGTGCTGCGGGGCTGTCAATGCTGCAGGCGTCACTGCCAGTGACGGCGCCTGGGGGCTTAGCAGGGAGGCTGCTTACCCAGGCTGGAGCCCAGGCCAGACTTGTCTTTGCTGGCCCGTCCCTTCCTTCTGGCTCAGGGCGCTTCTAGGCAACACTGCAGCCCAGCCCGGCCGCTTTCCTGCCACTGCTCCTTGGTCCTCCGGCGCCTTTCCCTCCTTAGCACGTCCCGGGCTGTGCTCTTCCGTGTCCCTGAGGCTGGGAATGGCGGCCCCTCCTATCCCGGGCAGCCCACTGCCTCTCGGCCCTCGCAGCCTTGCTCCATAAATCCCCCGTGTTCAGCAGCAGGTCCCAAACCTGCCGCTTCCATAATGCGACTGCACCCGGGAAGAGCCTTGGCGCGTGGTTCCTAATTGCACGAATCCTCCGCTAAACCTGGTCACGTCTCAGCCCTGGGGCTTTTACCTGCCTGTTTCTGAACAGAGGAATCCGGGCAGCAGCATTCCCAGGGAACCTCTCTCTGTCTCGTCCCAAGCCACGCGTCTGGGGCAGCAGCAGATCTGTATCCGTGTTTAGCCTTTCGGGGCCTGCCTCGTCCTGACAGGGCTTCAAACCAAGGCCTGGACTTCCCTGCAGGGAAATCTCCAGAGCATAAACTCGCCTCTTGTGGCCTTTGCTCAGTACCCTGACTGCCCTTGACGCCTCCTGGGATAGCGCCTGGCACAGGGGACATGCTACACCCTACCGGGCAGTCTCTATCCCGCTCTAAAACCTTGTCCAGAGCCACCAAGCTGGCTGGCGTTCCCTCCGGCCTGCGGGATTCCGAGTTCACGGCCACTCGTGTAGCGCCAGTGCCTACAGTGTAAACAGGGAGGTTAAGACAGTCAGTTAAACGCTAGCGGGTAACCATTTTCACTTAGGGCCTGCCAGGGCCGTGGGGTCCCACTGCCCAGCCCACCAGCCCCTCTGTGGCTGGGGCTGCTCCAGGCGGCTGCCAGCAGAGTTCACCGGCAGGGGCTGGTTAACCAGTAAGCCTCGTGCTTCCTGGTTAGCCGCTTAACACCCCTAATAAAGAGCATGCCCCAGAAGGAGCATTTGGGCCAAAACATCTCAGGCCAGACCCACCGAGGCAGGTAGGCAACTCACAGCTGCTTTAGGTGCCAGAGTCCAGCACTCTGATCCTCTAACCCTCCCCCCGCTTACCCTGGCTAACTCACACCAGCGCCCAGCTGGAGCCTCAGACCAAGTTCCCTCACTTGCCTCCTAGGAACAGCCAGACAGGGTGAGACCAGCTGCCCACTTCCCCCAGCGGCCTGTCGTTGGACAGTGGCCATGCCAGGTGCCCCAGAGGGAGCGGACAGAGCAGTTATTGAGCGATTCATCCCAGCATCGGATCCCAGTACTGCAGTCCAAGGCTAGCCACACCCAGAGCCTGGAATTGCATCCCTGGCCAGCTGGGCCAATAGCCATTGATGGGCCGGCCCTCCACAAGCTTGCCTAAGGCTTTTGGGACCCAGTTACACTTTTGGCCTTAACATCCCTTGGCAAGGAGTTCCACAGATGGATTGTGAAGTGCTTCCTTTTGTTTTAAACCTGCTGCCTGTTAATTTCATCAGGTGCCCCCAGGTTCTCATTACATGAAGGGGCAAATACCACACTTTCTTCACTGCATTTGTGATTTTTATCAACCTTTGCCCTAGTCCCCACCTTATCCCCCACTTTTCTAAGCTGAACAGTCCAAGTCTTTTCAGTCTCTCCTTTCATGGAAACCGTTCCTACTCCCTGTCATTGCTGTTGTCCTTTTCTGTACCTTTTCCAGTTCTGATTCCTCTTTCGAGAGGGCACAGCCAGACCTGCTGGCAGGATTCAAGGTGTCCGTGCTGCACAGATTTATCAGGCGACAGGATATTGACGCTCTGATTTTCTATCCCTTTACGAATGTCCTGTTTATTTTTCATACTCCTGCTGTGGCCTGTTGAGCAGATGTTTTCAGAGAATTATCCTGCTTGGCTCCAGGATCGTTCTGGAGCAAGAACAGGCCAGTTAGATGGCATCATTTTGTGGCGGTAGGTGGGATTGTATTTTCCAACGTTTATTACTTTGCATTTATCAACACTGGATTTCATCTGCCGTTTTCACAGCTGTCCTTAGAATTTATGGGGCCCTATGCAACCCCCTGCAAGTAATTTTTTCCCACCCCCAGCCAGGTGCCTCACACACTTTTCCCATCCGCTCCCCATGGCACTTACCTGGGGAGTCCAGCAAGGAGAGGGTTAAATGCCTGGCTGCTCTCAGGTGTCCTGGGGGTGTCTTACGCAGCCTAGTATTCTGCCTATGCATGGGGCAGCCCTGGCCATTTTGATGCCCAGTCACACAGTTTGAGAGCTCTCGGTGACTCTTCGGAGTCTTCTTTGGACTTAACCATCTTGAATAATTTCATATCTAGACCCTTTCCCACCTCACTGCCTTCCTCTTTTTCCAGATCACTTGTGAACCCTGAACAGCCCTGGTCTCCCAGGCTTCTGGGGGACAGCGATTTACCTCTCTCCTCTGTGTAAAGGGACTATTTCTTCTTACTGTTTGTTTCCTACCTTATCCAGTTACTGATCCACGAGACACCTTCCCACGACAGCTCACTTGGCTTAAAAGCCTTTGGAGAGGGACCTTGTCCAAGGCCTGGAAATCCCAGTACACCATGGCTACTGGAACAGCTCTGTCCACCTGCATGGAGATCCCTTCAGAGCTGCATGGAGATCCCCTGTTAGTTTTCTGGCTTTTGCTAGTTGCTCTTCAAATTCTTTTTGGCTGGCCTTAGCCCTGTTTCTACTTGACTTTCCAGAGTCCTTTTTATTTTCCTCAGTAGGAGACTTCCAGTTTTTAAGATACACCTTTTGTCTCTGACCATCTCTCTTAGGCTGTTCAGCTGTCGCAATACCTGTTTGGTCACTGTTGGTTTTTAAGCCTCTATTATGGTTTTTTAAAGTATCCAGACAGTTCACAGGCATTTGATGAATTAGTTTAACGTGGGTCTGGTCTCCACGCTACAGTTAGGGTGAGGCAAGGCAGTTGGAAGTGTCTGTGTCAATTTCACTCCTGCTGACCAAACTGCTCCACTACACTGATTGAACACCACCTGCCCGAGTGGCGCAGTCACTGGTGACAGCGCGCCAGTGTTGACAGTGTTACTTACATCAGCTGTTGCTGGCCTCCAGGTGATGTTCTACCAGGCTCTACACTGACCACTCCGGTGTGCGTGCAGCTGTCCAAGGCCTGGTGGAAAGGAAGCTGCCCCTCCCCTTCAGTTTCTTTATATTGTTTAGTTGTACTTGGAGCTGTTGCTGTGGGACCTTCAGGGTCTCCCCCTCCTCTCACCTAAGCCAGATACGGGGCAGTGGCTGTGGCAGGAGTTCCCACAAACCTGTGCTGTGTTGGAGAATGCGGCTAGGCCCTGGAGGGTAGCCCTTGCAGACAGCAGGAGGGGACAGGCCTAGGGAAAGGAGAGATGCACTAGCACCTAGTGGGGCTTCTCAGGTAGCAAAGATGCTGCTGACTTAGGAACCTGCGGATCTGAGACACCCACGGCAAATCCATTGTCAGAACCTCCCCAGTTGCTGGACCACGAGCAAGAGCGGCACGGCCCCGCCCATTCCCCCGGATGGGGGCATTGAAAGGCTCCCAGAGCTGCCGGTGCGCTGACTTGTGAGAGCCACGGCTGGCGAACGGACCCGTGACCCACAAGTGACTGTCCTTTCCCCTTTGTTTCCTGAATTCCTTACGTGCAAAATGTTGGATTTGCCTGGTTCCCAGCACAGAATAAAACCCCCACTTTGGAACAGAATCCGTTTGTACTGGTTCACCACAGATGCTGACTGACTGTGGCCCGTTTCCTGCCCCAGGCCAGCATGCAGACACCCCCACAGGCGCTGGGACCGTGTTCTGTTTCCTACACCCAGCAATCACAGGAGTCACGCTGGGCTGGAAAAGAGCCAAGTCCAGGCTGAGCGCCCTGCAGCAACATGCACCACCCTGGCTCCCTATTAAAATGCCCTTTTGCCGTCTCTCTGAGCCATCAAGCTGCACTTTGAGCCCCTACAGCCCTTTTCTCGGGCTGGCCCTATTGCCCAGCGGCACAGTCGTGCACGGCAGGCAGGGACTCGTGGCACTGCACACGTGCCTGGCAGCTGCCCTTAATGCTGGGTTTCTGGCTTCAAAGCAACTGAGGCGGCGCAGTCTGGCGTGGCTGGGTTCTTAGCCAACCGTGCAGGTCGTGCTGTGATGTCCCTGCCCAGGAGGGCTGGGGTGAGTCCAGCCAGAAGTTCTGCAGCTGATGCTCATCATCCCAAACCTGCATTGCAAGGCGACGCCACCACTCACTGGTGGTTTCTTGAGCCCCAAAACTGGGGCTCCTCCAGCTGCTCTGGGAACACCGACACAACCTGGAATTTTCTTTCTGCGCCCCCCGGACTCCTAGCCTCCAAGGAAGGCTGTTCCCCACAGAGGCTGATGTAACCTAGGCCGGCAATGTGGTCACGTAGGCATGGCCTAGAGCAGTGGTCTCCCACCTTTCTAAGTGCAATGTAAGATCTACCTCAAACCCGAATACCCTTGCCTCTTCATGCTCCTTCTCCAAGGCCTTGCCCCTGCACTCTGTCCTCTCTTCCTCCCACCCTTTCACCAGGCAGGGGCAGAGGGTAGGGGCACAGGCTCTGGTCTTGGGCTAAGGATTTGGAGTGCACGGAGGCTCTGAGCTGAGTCTGGGGCAGAGAATTGGTGTGGGGGGGGGGTAGGGTCTCTAAAGGAGTTTAGTTCCATGGGGCTCAAGGCGAGGACAGGGCCTTTGGGTGCAGGTGGGGTTCATGACTGGGGCAGGGGCTCAGAGCTGTCTCCAGCTGGACACTGCTTACCTTGGGTGGGGGTGCAGTGGGGCTAAGGCAGGCTCCCCCCTGCCCTGGCCCCATCCTGCTCTCAAAAGCTGCCAGCAAACTCCCCCATCCCAAGCCCTGTTGTGCTGCACCTCCCCCACCCTTCCCCCTCCCCCGTTCTGTGGAGATAGAATACAGGGTAGAAGAGGGGACACCCTGACATCAGCACCCCTCCTCTCCCTTCCCTGCTCTGTGCTGCAAGCAGGAGGCTCCCAGGGGAACGGGGAGCTCCAAGGCAAAGGGCAGGAGATGTGCAGCAGTGTGGGGGGGAGGGGCAGCTGAAGTGCTGCGCTTTGTAGCCCGTGGCCAAACCAGTGACGATCCCGTCAGAGGCTCCAAGATCGACCAGTAGATCCCGATCGACTGGTGGGTGACCACTGGCCTAGAGTCTTCATTGTTGTGCAGCTCCCCTTTGTGAGGTTCCATGCCACCGCGGGGGCCTAATTTGGTATCCCCGTCCCCCAAGAAGGTGGTGAGTAGTTACATCATGGCGCTGCCAGCCAGCAGCTCAGCTGTACGTACTCACCTCTTGGCCCAGAGCCCATGTTCCTCTTGAGTATCGCTTGGGCGACTCCTCTCCCCGGCGGGTGCCAGGACTCACAGCTCGGCAAAGCAGTCGCGCAGGAGGCAGGCTCAGAGGCCTGCCCAAAGTCTAGCCACTGGTGCCCCCGCCCCTGCAGAAGGGGGTCGAGCTGCCTGGGCTGTGGCTGACCCAGGTTCAGTTCCTTCCTCTGCCAGAGCGGAGCAGGGTCAGGAACCCAGCCAAGTGCCCAACCCACGGAGCTGTGGAGCGTCTGGGGAACGTGTCTCCTCATCATGCTGCTGCGCGTTGCCTAACACGCTGCAGTGGGCATGGGCCCAGGCAAGAGAAAGCGACTCAAGCCAGAGGTCAGGGCAGTGCCTGGGAGGAGACTGAATCCTAACGCCAAACGTACGGGGTTCGAACTCCATCTCCCAGGCCAAGGGGGACGTGGCGCCTCCGTCTCCCATGAACGCTAGACCCCTCTCCCCAGCTAGCGGCAGAAGAGGCAATGGGACCACTAGCACCTTCCCTTTTTCAGGGGGAGGGAGGAGGTAAAGCTCTGCCCCAGCTCAGGTCACAGAGAATCCCGCGTCAGGAGAGACGCCTCCCTCCAGCCCAACGTTGGAGCCCAGCTCGCAGGAGCGCAAGGCTGAGCCTGGCTGCTCTTGGGCCTCACCTGCTGGCTGGTTCGGCGGCTCAGCAGGCGGCTCCGCACAGCCCCATGCTTCAGCCCCGTTTCTCTCCATAGCTGGTCCAAGGAACCTAGGCGCCTAACGCGGGCTGCAGAGTCCACGAGGCAGCAGGGCACCTGCGGGGTAAGCATGGCAATGCAGAACCCGTGCGCCCCCCTCGTGCCAGCCTGATGCTCCTTCCTGCGGGGGCTCAAGGTCTCTCTTCGGACTCAGCAGCTCCCTCTTCATGGCTTGGGCCTCCGGGCAGGTCACTGCCGTTCTCCCATGTGTGTCTCTCTACTGCCACCCCATTCACTGCCCATCAATGGTGCCACTTCCTCAGAGGCGGGTAGGGAAAATGGAGCCTGCCCAGGGCGCCTACCGGCAGCAGCTAAGATCCGGCCTCCAGCAGCCTCCTCCCCACGGCCCTGCTCCGCCTGGCCTCAGAGTGACTCCAGTCCTCCCTGCAGCCCGTCTGCCCTCAGCCCCCGGCCATGCACCAGCCCTGTCCAGGTGAGCGTCATCCTCAGTCCTCGTTGCTTCCTTGCTGCTCCTGCAGGTGCCACCCCGGCGCTCACTCAGCCAGTCTAGCTCCCTCCAGGGGCTGAGCCTCACCCCAGCCTCTGGGGCGTGAACTGAAAAGTGCTGGGGGAACGGTGCTCCGGCCCAGCCCAGCCCTTCCCGCAGGGTCCCAAGTCCCCCTAGAGCAGGGCCTCCGCGATGTACAGGGCTGGGGGAGGGACGCCTTGAGGCCCTGTCAACTGAAGGAAGCTGGCAGCAGGCACCGGGCCCTGCCATTGGGCCCCCAACATGTCAGTGATCCCACGGGGTTAAATGGTCCCTGTGGAGGGGCATTAAGTGAGTTAATAACGTGACTGGGGAGTTGCCCAGCTGATGATGCGGCCTCGTTTGGGGAAGTGGTGGACAGACTCAGACGCGTCTCCTGACCCGCGGTTCTGATCGGTTGCTCCCTTAGCATGGTCCCATCCCAGCTGAGGTTAGGTCGGACCCTGGTACTAAGGCAGGGAGGCCTGGTCGGTCTCCTTTTACAAATGCCGTTCTTTCCACCTCCTCTTTTCCGCCGGAGAGGCGGGGACAGTGGGCGGCTGGGCAGACCCCAGCACCCTGCCGCAGCCGCGCTCTGGCGTGCACCCAGCACCAAGCCGCACGGACTTCAAAAAGCCCGTGGCCCCAGGCTCTGGATACTTCCAACACGCAGCCTTGCCCGGGTGTGAGTGCTCACATACGGTCTTGCCGAACCCATCCCGGGGGGGGGGGGGGGTTTAGGTATCGGCGTTTCCGGACATGTGACCGTCGGCGTCATAGAGCAGTTGCGGTTTCTGCTGGTGCTGTTGGTGAGAGGTCCTGGGCGCGGAGGGAGCAGACTGAGCGGAGGCCAGGGGAGAGGGCACCGCTGAAACGTGTCCCCGTGACACCCAGAGCGAGGAGGGTAGTGGAAGCCTGGGAGGCCGGTGACTGGGGCATGGTCTGCTTGCACCTTGGCAGGGAGCACGCTGGCAGAAACGCTTGCTCTGCTGCTCTCCCTCGGAGTTTTCTAGGGACAGGGAGCAGCCCCGGGGCTTCCAGGCACTGGCCCAGCTGCAGTGTCTCTTCAAAGACACTAACGCATCAGCCTGTCAAGCAGCTCGTAGAAATGCGGCAGAGACGACACCACCCGGACAACACGCCCGGGACGGGCTGAAGTACACTGGCTTTTTATTCCATGCATTTGTTTGCTTTGACACTCATTCGTATGCCCATCACTGTACACGGGTCAGTACAGAAATCAAGTTTGTATCAGGAAGCCACAGCACGGAGAGGAGAGGAGACACCGGGAGATGAAATGGCCACAGCAGGGAAAACAACATCACCCAGAGCTGCCAGAGGCCAGGCTGGTGGGGAGTGGGCAGGGAGCCCCCACTCACCCTTCTCCTGGGAAGGAGAAAATAAAGCGCTCCCCACCCCCAGGGCTGTGCTCTGCCAATTCCAGGCTCAGCCCCACCCGTGGGCATCCCCAGGAGCCAGCGTGCTCCGGTGAGGTCACGCTGGGCTTGCAGGAGCATGGCTGAGAGCAGCCCTTGGCCTCTAGCTCTCTCCTTCCACGGAGCGGCAGCCTCCCCAGCGAACGAAGTCCAGACTCTGGTACCCAATGGCCACAGAGCTAGTGCCTGGAAACACACAACGGGGCCTGTTTCCCTCCTCGGCCCATCCACGGCACAATGCTGGCACGGGTCACATGATCCCTACTACACTGGTCCTCAGAGACCTCCCCGTTCAGAATCCGGTACCTAGCCCGCCCCAGGAGCGCCAGCGCATGCCGCCCTGGGACGGGGGTTGGTTTCACCCTCTGCTCACGACTGACAAAAGCTCCCAGTGGGGGGTTCAGCCCAGGCCTCAGCCATGCAGGGATGCAGGAGGCCGGCCCCTAGGGCGAGAGGGGCGATGGGCTTTGCCCCGAGAAACCCCTGAACGCCCCGCAGCAGCCTAGTTTCCAGAGCAAACTGCGTCACGCCACGGAGGCTTTTCAAATGGCTCCGGCAGCCTGGCCGAGGGCAGGGAATCCGAGCGTGCAGCACCCTGAGGAAGGAGGACCCAGAAGTGACCGGTGTTCCTGGCTGGGCAGGGCCGAAGTCTGACCAGGACTGAAGACTAGGCTGGATACTTCCCCGACTCATTGCTGTTCTGTGATGGCAAGACCTTGGGCCTTAAAACTGCCGCTGCCTGCTCTGATCCTTGGCCCAGTAACACTCGGGGTGCCGCTGGCTCTGGCAGCTTCGCCCCAGTTTACCATCTGCCGGGGCAGACGGCGTGTGGCGTGCAGGCCAGGGGCCCTGTGCATGGAATGCGCTTCGCTAGGACAGAGCCGGGGCTGACCAGGAGCTGAGGCCAAGGCCAACCAGACCATGTCGAACTTCTGGGATGCAGCCGGGCACAGCACTGTCCAGCCCTGAGCCAGCACCTCGTACCGCCGGGCTGCTGTCCACACGCCGCCAGCGCCCAAGCAGCTGTCAGAGCCCCGAGGGGGGACTACAGATAACGGGGGCTGAGCCGCTGCGCACACTCTGGGGCCACCGAGCAATGCGGGGGCGGAGGGCGCCACCCCCAAGGGGAGGATGTTGTATTGCCCCTGCATGAGCGCGAGGAGTAGCTGAGCTGGGGCTGAGGCCAAGGCCTTGGCGTACAGAACAGAAAGCCCCTAACTTCAATTGCGAGGGGGTGATGCTGGTCCTCCCTCCTGTTACCTAGCTGCTTCATGCGCGAGTTGGGACCACCACGAGCACCGGTGCCCTGCTCTATCCTAACAGCCCTGAATGCCTCCCCAGGGAGGCTTGCTCCGAACTTTCAGAGAGGGGACATCTGCTTATGTCTCAGGGCAAAGCACTCGCTGCTGTCCGACTGTCTCCGCTCCCTCCATCTGCCCTGCCCCCCAACACTCCCCTCCCCCCGTCCATCCCCCAATCAGGAGCAAACACTGCACAGTTTCATCTGTGTGGAAGCGCTCCAAAGCCAATGAAACTGAGTACCCCTCCCCAATCGCCTAGCAGGTCAGGCCTGCCTGATGCAGCCTCCAGAAGGACTGTGCTTTGCATGGCACCAGCATGGGGGAGGGGGTCAGCAAGGGAGCAACTCTGATGCACAAGGAGGAAACATCACATGGAGAGAACAATTGTGCCAGCAGTAAAGCAACCTTCTGATCTACAGAAAAGGTAACAAATAAAATAGGTAATAACTTAAGATCTGCATGTAGGCCAGCTACAAAAGGCTAAAACAGGGAATAATTTAACTCATCCAATACTGCTCTTTGTATAAGCAAAACATTTTCCTTCATTGTTGCCACTGGGCTATAAATTATCAAGGCTACCTTCAAATCAGCATTTTAACATAAAGTGTAAACAAAGAAAGCAACAGAAGAACCTGCCTACGTCCATTCCTGCCAGTCATCTGAGGCTCACGCGTGGCTTCTGCAAGGGGGCCGATTCCCCATTCGCCCGGGGTACGACAGGCCCAGCGCACACGCTCTAGCCAGGACCGCGAGGAAGAGCAGCTGGCGCTCTCAGGGCAGAGCTACAATTGTTCCTGAGGGAAAGTGACTGGGAAGGGGAGAGGGAGGGGAGCCTTTGTTCTGTGTGTCAGCTAAAAGGGGCGGTTTGTCTCTGAATGGAAAGGCCAAGTGGGGAGTGCTAGGCTGGCCACTCCATGCCAGTGCCTCAGCCTGGCAGCTACCCCCACAATGTGCCAGTTTCTCCTCCAGGCTGGAATTTACAGGGCTGGGATTCACACTGAGGGTCCCCACATAAAATACGGCCACATCCAAAATCAAGCCCCCCGTCCTTTTGGTAACCAAATCCAAATTTAGTTTTCCGTTTTACCCCAAGCCTGACACGAAGGGCAGGCAGCCGTTCATGCTGACAAAACCAAATCATTAACAAACAGAACAAAGGGCAGGTTGATGCCGCTGTCCAGGCCAACCGGTTCCCTGGTTTGCTCTCCCTCGGCGCTGGCCAGTTGTGTGAGGTCGTGAGGAGTGGGAGGTTGCGTCTGAAGGTTTAGAGCAGGTGTCTGCGGTTTCCTCCCTGACTAGTTCTCAGGCTTTGCAGAATGTGCTTTTCATGCTTCTTGTGTGTCCAGCACTGATCTGATTATTTGTAATTGACGGGAACAAACGGGAGGTGGGAAGTCAGGAGAGGGAGTCAACGGTGGGAAAATGGCACTCTGCAGGTGAAAGACGGAAATTCGCACGGTTCTGTCGGCCGTAGTGAAGATGACCGGTGACGTTAAAAAGTGCTGTCATACTGAGTCTTGAGAGAATGCGGTTGGAACACAGCTGCAGGATCTCACAACAAAATGCTGATTAAAAAATAAAACAAACCCCCCATAAATTAACCCCCCATTATCACATCCCTGGAGGAATGTATTGATTCAGAAGACCCTGGATGTAAGCACCTTGGTACCAAATTTCTCCAGGAACATGTCCACTTTCTGATGAAGTGACCCCGCTGGTTAGACTGAATGCTATTTGTTCGTAGGTTACCTTTTAGCAAGGTTTCTTACACGTCCTCATTGCTAAGACTGGTTGGCTCACTTCTCTTTGTCTATTCTCCAGCCTTTAGGGCCATGCGGCCTGGTCCCTGGAAGAGCAGCAGTCGAATCCTGATGTGTCCATCATGCAGTTTATGTCCGACTCACAAGGATGTGTCTTTCATTTGCTTGTTTTCTTCACTTTTTTGCAACAAATGATTGTGTCTCTCGATATATAGTCCACTCTTTACAATAAAAAGTGTTAAAATGTAAAAAAAAATAAATATCCATGTTACAGTAGCTAGATTATTCAATAAAATACATCCCTGCCATTCTTGATTGAAATGCTCAGTGAGATTTAGTTTCATTTGGACATTTTTCCAGAGATTCAAGTTATTGCAGATCATTTCTGGGGTGGGAAGGAGCATCAGCGTCTCTTCCTGTCAAAGCATGGGGGCAAGGGAGAAATGGAAGGAGTCCGGGCGAATTCAAATGCCAGGATGAGGACGGCTTTGGTGGGGAATGTGTCATTACCAAGTAGCAGAACTGCAGGGCTTATTGGTCCTGACGGTTGCATCAGAACACTCCCCCTCGGAAGAGTCACAATCCGATTCTCCAAACTGTGCCTGGCTCTGCAAGGCAAAAGGTCAGAGAAACTCTTTTAGCGATTTCCCTGCCCGGCAGAGGGGCTGCACCGGGAGGGTCGGCCTCTGGTTCGTAGAGGAGCAGGAGACTGAGAGGTCCCCATTAGGGAGCCTATCGCTTCGCATCTTCTGGTGGCCAACGGGGCATTAAGGATCCATAGAGGGTCACCACTGACCCCAACACAGCCACAGGGACCTGCTGGCTAGTGAGTGTAACCAGTGGGAAAGGGAAAGCCAGGGACTTTCCCCACATGTCCATACAGAACTGGGAGGGGAGCAACAGGTAGGCCAATCTAATGCAACATTCATAAAACCAAAGAAGTTAGAGGAAGAGGGAAGACAGAGCACGCACAGGTACGCAAAGGATGCCACATCTGGGCAGACCAGTCTACTATCTCCAGCACCACCAGTTGTTTTAGGTGCAAGAAACCCTCTAGTAGAGAATGAGGAACAGCTTGCCCTTTGAGGAAGTTTTTCTGGCCCTTTAGGCTGATGTTTGCCTCAAAACAGGAGGGTTCGTATCCATATTATTTAAACGCCTATTTGTCATCCCATCTAATGTACCTGGATGTCTCATGAGTCATATAAATGGTCCCTCTTCTTCTGAAGCCTGTTAAGTTCCTGGCCTCAACACTATCTAATGGCAATGAGTTCCACAGGTTAATTATGTCTTGTGTAACTTATCAGTTATACATGCTGCCTTTCAATTTCTGGGAATGTCCCAGGGTGCAGAGAAGCACTCTGTGTCCCCTCTCTCTGCAGTACATCTCCCGTGGCCCCTCTCTGGGCAGTCCCAGGTGTTCTCACTCTAGCCATATAGATTTCTTGTGTGGTTCTAGTTTCTTTCACCACCTGACCAAAGAGGAAGGGGAATACTGATGGCTCCACTCACCTCACAGCTGCGTTCATCTGCACAGAGCTTGCCCAACGACATCTGTGTCTTCACCCTGCGCACGGCGCACTCTTTGTCTGAAAGCCCGTCAGACTGAGTGGAGATCTCGATGGGGATTTCCGGAGTCTGGGACAGGACGTCCTCTAGCTTCTCCATCAGCTGGTCTTCCAACCTGTTGGCCAGCTCATCTGGGCTGTTTGAGTGGTCACTGGTGTTCCCTTCCTCTCCGTCAGACACGGAGAAGTTCTCAGAGCTGAAGGTTGAGTAGGACTGGCAGCTACTGATGCAGCGGTGAGGCCTGAAAGCCCAGGAGAACAGCTTAGCTCCCTTTGGCTCAATGCCTGCACTGCAGGCTTCAGTTTATATTGCTACATCACTTTCCCCACCCTACATTAGTTGCCAGGCTGCTCCACTTCACCCCAAAAGGAGCTTGGGCCTGATAAGCTAACCACACCCTCAAGACACAACGTGGGAACCTGCGCTCGGATTGCTCCTCACTTGCCACCATTTCAATAGTTCCAGCCTTAAAGAGAGGATGTGTCCCTGTTCTAGATAGCCAGCCTTTTGATGAAGTGACGTCCATGAGAACAAGGCTGAACTGTTCTAGCTCAAGAGTTGGAGCCATTCCTTTGCCCTCTGCAGTAACAAATCGGATCAAGGACTTTGGAAAGATGCTGTGGAGGGTGTCAGGCCCTGGCAGTGTCCAGCCTGATGGCACAGACTCTGGAGATCCCAGACTGGGTATCAGCAGCCTTTTGCACTGGTCACACGTGGTGAGGTTCCTGCCCAACCAAGCCCACGGTGGAGAGGAGCTATGCTAGAGGTGCAGGGGACTGAAAACTGCTTGGCAGCATGAGACATCACCTGGGGGACACTCCTGTCATCAATACTGCAGCTAATAGGCAGGAGCTCTGGCCATAGTTTATGGAGTTCATGGTCACCATAGGACTGGCCAGGCCCTAGACAGAATCGCTACAGGGTTGGATACATTTCATGCTGGTACTTGGCCAACGATTACACACAGGGACCGATCCTGCTGCTGCAGAAGACTCAGAATTCCCAACACAACGGCATGACGTTAAGTGACGTGAAACTGAGCCAGATTAAAAAGAACAGCTCCGATTTCTGCCTAGCACTCAAGCAAGGGTCGGAAGGGTAGAGCTATTTACCTCTGTCTCCGTGGGAACTCCACTTCACTGTCCACTTCTCCTTCTTCCTGTTCCGAAGAGTCGTCACCACTCTGGGAGGGGGGCGGGAGGAGGGGGGTGAAGAGAGAAGGAAGAGAACAATGTTACTGGGCTGTCTCAAACAACCCTACAGCATCCTCGCTGCCACTCTGCTCTCTGGCACAAACTCACTGCTTCAAGAGATTTCCTATGCTACATCTAGACGACATGGTTCAGTCGACAGAGCCATGTAAATAGTTTATTCGGAATATTCTAAGCCTTTGTCAACCGCTCCGGTATGCCTCATGAAACGAGGTTTACCGGAGCGGTCGACAAAGGCTTCCTTTGTCAACCGCGCCGCGTCTACACTGCCGCGCTGTGTCAGATCATCTGATTGTTGGCACAGCGCGGTGGCCATTTTTATTTTAATGAAGCAGGGATTATTTAAATCCCCACTTCTTTGATTATGCTGAACAAACTATTTTACATGGCTCGGTCAACGGAGCCACGTAGTCTAGGCGTAGCCCCAGTGTTCGAAGCCAGACGGGCCCTCGGGTCATAGACTCTGATCTCCAGTATATCGCAGACCATTAATCACACCTGTCTCCACTAAATGGAACCCGGGGGGTTGGGCAGACTAAGACATTTCAGTCTGAAGAGACTAAGCCATAGACAGAGAACAGGGGGACTGAGTTGCCACCAATGCCTGAGGCCATGATCATCCCAGCAGATGAACCGATCTCCCATGCTCCCGAACAGGTGAAAAAATCTCCAAAGGCCCCAGCCAATCTAAATTCCATCCTGACCACGACTCGGGTGATTGCTTAGATCCAGAGTACATGAGCAAGCATCTAAAATACAGGAGTCTCTGTACCACATCAGCGCATTTGGCCCACCCATCTCCAGCCAGGGCAATCCCTGCTACTTTAAAGGAAGGCAAAACTCCTCATCTTCAAAATACATCCTGCTGATTATGCACCAGGGAAAAGTCCTCCCTGAGCCCCGCAGGTGAACAATGCAGCCATGAACCAGGAGACTAAATTAGATTCATTGTCTGGAGTCAGAGCTGCAAGTGTTTTGAACGTGCTGAAAGCAGAGCAGGGAATCTGTTCTCTCCAGGGTCCACGTAGGAAAGGAATGAACCGCCGCACTCCAAACAAGTAAGGTGTCAAACTTTGGCAAACTAAAAGCTAAAAGTGAAGCATTGCAGGGAATTCTGAGATGTGGCAAATGTTCACCCTGGACTACCAGACAATTGGCTGCTGATCTATTTAACAGGAAATCCTTAAAGTCCTCATGCCTGAATATTACAGAGGTCCGAGTTAAAATGGTCAGGGCAATGTCTGAGAGACTGGAATACCCCAGCAATATTCCTGAAAGGGGGACACTCTACAGAGTTTAGATCTTGACTTCATGGGGACACTGACGGACAGAACGACAGCAGCGTAATTGTCCTAGAGTTTAGATCTTGACTTCATGGGGACACTGACCGTCAGAACGACAGCAGCGCAATTGTCCTACTACAGCTGTGTTGATATACTCCCCAGTGACTGGGTCCTGGCATAATTACTCTGCTTTGTGCTTTGCAGTGGAGTCATTTTTCTAGAATAAAGTCCCTTTTTTTTTACATGGGGAATTGTACTAAAGTTCAGTCCATCTCCCTAGGTAGACAAGCCAGAGACGGGCACAGTTTTAGTCTTTCAAGTGATCTTAACCAAGATGACCAAAAATACACCAGGGACTAAATAATGTGCTTTATTGTGGGTTTATTAGTCCCTAGTTTTGAAATATTCTTGGACAGCCACCAGGTCACATCTGAAAGAAAATTATTCCAGTTCTCAGTTTCCAAAATTACGTCATAAGGAAGGGCTATATTATCACTCCAAAGTGCTGGATAACATGACAACAAATGCTGAAAGCCAACAGCAATGAGGTAGCATGAGACACAGCACTGGATTCTGGGTAGGAATGTTAAATTGCAGGTAACTGACTAGTTGAATAGCCGAATAGTTGATAGGGTGTCCCTGCCTTCGAAGTGTAGAAACAGCATTTGAAAGCGGCAGCACCACCTGTAGCCAGCTGATTCCAGGCTCCAGGTGGCGCTGCCGCTTTGAAATTCCAGGAGGAGCCTGATGCCGGGCTCCTGCAGCAGCGTTTCAAAGCAACAGCATCACGAGGAGCCCGGGGTCTGGTCCCAGGCTCCATACAGCACTGCTTCTTTGAAGTACCCCCTTCGTCCCCCCCCCCATTGCTGCCTCTTTCTGATAGAGGCAGCAAAGCAGGGGGGGAGCGACTAATGGACTAGTCCTTCATGTCCCTAATTCTGGGGACATCTCAAAGGTTTATCATGACGTTCGAAACCGTAGAGTATAACCAGTAGAAACAAAAGAGATAGAATTAGAGTAACAGGGATATGGTCACATCATCCCCGTAACTCTCTAGACAGGTTAGCGGATTAGCCAATGATGCACAAAGCATGGGAGTAAATTAAAAGTGAGCAGACACCCGAGTCTGAAGGAAGCCAAAAGACTATTCTGACACATTTAGAACAGCTCAGTAACCATGAATACTGAATGTTGATCTGGTGATGGGGAGGCTTATTTAATAGGGGGCTATGGGAAACCAAGCAGGAAGGAAAAGAACAGCTCCACTCCTCCATAAACACTCAAGGGTTGTCCGAAACATGATGAAGAAAGGAAAACGCCCGGGAACAGCAAGAGCGAAAGAGCGACGGTAGTTTAAAAAAGAACGCTCTTGAAGGCAGGGCTGGCAGCCAGCGTGCTTCCGGCCCCAGGCTCGGGGAGCCCCCCCACAGCCCAGCATTGCAGCTTCTGTATCAGAGGCAGCAGCACGGGGCAGCAGCAGCCTCTGTCTGCAGAGGACCTGAGCTCCCTGTGGACAGAGGCTGCTCCAGCATCCTGCCTGCCCCCATCCCAGGCTACTGCCTCTGATACAAAAGCAGCAGCGTGGGGGCTGGGGCCAGAGCCTGCTCCAGCAGCCTGCCTGCCCCCATCCCAGGCTACTGCCTCTGATACAAAAGCAGCAGCGTGGGGGAGGAGAGACGAGCAGGCAGCTCCGTGGGATCTGATGCTCATGGGGAGCCAGCTTTTAAGCCAGCTTCCCCCCCAAGCACTGGCTCCCACCTGCCCCCTGAGCTGCTGCCTCCGTGGGACCCAGGAGTCTTGCCTTGTTCACTAAACCCTTCCAACTTCCACAACAGAAGAGCCGGGTCCCTACAGAAAAAAAGCTTCACTCATCCTCTGAAGCTCCTTCCCGTGCAGTGAGTGAGGCAGGGGTCCCGTGGATAAATCAGCATGCGATCATGCAATTAAAGACAGGCAGGGGTCCCGTGGATAAATCAGCATGCGATCATGCAAATAAAGTCTCGTAATGTATGCACACAGCAGGTTGCAAACACACATGGAAGGTTGACAGGCAATCTGAATTCTGGCATTTCCAAACTCTAGAACACTTGACTTTGCAATCTTAATAGTGTTCTTTTAATGCAGTTTTGGGTGTAATTTTCTAGGGCTTTTTTAGCAAACAGGGAAAATCCTTCCTGTGGAACCACTTTGACAGCCACATGGGCCATCCAGCAAGTTTGGAAGCTTTAGATCTACTGCACTAAGCTCTTCCACTTGAGCTAATGGAGTAACTGACAGCAGTAGTAGGGTCTCCTCCTCCATGCAGACCAGCCACAAGAGGGAAATGCACATGTTTTATCAATGGGTTTCATAGCTATTTGTTACCAGTACTGGCACCGTTGCCACTCGGGAAACCTCCATTCTATTCCAGGTTCAGAGAGGAGTAAGGATCCTCTTCCCCCAAAAGCCTGACACATTCTATGCCTCACCAACCTGTGCTTGTCCCAGTTCCAGACTCCACCTCCTCATTTCACTTTGTGACCAAGTCCCGTTTCAACCCCCTTTGTCCTAATTCCAGTCCCCACCCTTCTCCCCGTCCCCAACCCCAGCTCTTCTGTTCTCTGCATTCCAGTCAGGCTGGCTCCCACATTTCCTCCTTGCTGAGTTCCAGCAGGAGAAGTACGGGAGCACAGACCACAATATGCCTTCTCTCAGGTCCTATCCCTGGTACCAAAGCACTCCCTGGCTGCAAAGAAGCACAATTGCAGGGAAAGTCTGCCAGCTCCAGGCTGGAGCTCGGCCAGTACAGACAGAATCTTTGGGGTATTAGGCTGCCAAAGCCTCTTCTGAGGCATGAACAAACTGCAACTTTTGGAATCTTACAACGTGGATAAATTTGGACAATCTCACAGGAACGCCAAAAGGCATTTTGCTGACACTGTGGCAAATCTGGAGTTCCTGCTCCGAAGCAGAGGAACCAAAGTGTCTCAAAGAAAAGGCTGTTACATTTTTTTTTTAACATGGGCAAACAATATAATTTTCCCCGACACTGTTCTGAGAAATGGTTGGACCATTTTTTCTGAAATAAACAAAAAAATAAAACAACCCCCCCAGCTTTAGCCAGGGACAGACACTTAGCATGGTAATTCTCCGTTAATGTTTGGCAAAGTGATAGGTAACTGAAGAGAGTCTTCTAATGGGAAGCTTTAGGCCGAGGGATATTAAATTGCATGTAATCAGCTAATCAAATAGACGATGGAATTTCCATCGACTACTCGATTGGTCAATAAGGAGGGAACTGCAGAGCCGCAGCAGGGCCAGGAGCTAATCCCGCTGAGGCTCTGTCTTTTAAATGCCTGGGCTCTTAATACATTTAAAAAGCAGAGGCGCAGTGTCTGGGACCGGGCGCAAGCAGGGACAGCTGTTTCCCGGCTTGCTCCCAGTCCCCACAACTGAGAGAGGCAGCAGGGGGAGGGGGAGGAAGAGACTAGTCAAGTCACTACTCAACTAACCGATAAGCATACTAGTCCCTTACATCCCTAGGCCACTGTAACAATATGCAGCGCAACCACCTCTAATCTCCCCAGTACAAACTGCTTTAAAAACAAAAGATGTCAAGGTGGCAAAGCAAAACACACAAATTAAAATGAAAGTTGCATGCACAACCTTAACTCTGCCCCTTTGTGTTCATACGAAGTTTCATTACATAGTCAGATTCTCTCTCTCAAACAATACCACACCACAACGTACCATATTGTCTGGAAATTTTTAAACAGATTATTTTAGAGACGACTTTCCAGTCTTTACCTTTTGAATAGGTCGGGGCTTGCCAGGTAGCATTGGGGTAGCCAGCTGTTGAGATGAGCCTGACTTGCAACTGTTGAAGTCTTCCTCCACCATCTTTTCAGGAAGCTGGGCTTTTTCATACAAGGGCCCACACGTTGTCGCTTTGGGGTGGTTCATCCCGGGTTCAGTGGACGGCATCTGTCCCTGACCACTGCTCGTCTGCCTGCAGGGAGGACGAGGGCTGTATGGGTCTGCTTTACAACACTTCCAGTGATCAGCCTTGTGTTCCTCCTCCTCCAGATTCCTCCGGCAATCTGCTTCCATAGCAGTAGAGATGAGATCGGGGCTGGAGCCGGACATGCGCCTCTGGGCATGGTTACTGAGGGGGCTCCGCAGGGCTGCTGCAGGGCCAAAGTACCTCAGGTTGTTTGCACAGTTTGCAATGTCTTGGCCCTGGATGTTTAGCCTGGGCTGATGGCCATGGTAATGCGGGTGGCTGGGCTGCTGGTGCTGCTGGAGGCTGGGATGAGGAGATTGGGGTGAATTGTCTTGTGCTGGCTGGTTTTTCAAGATCCCTGCAAATTCATTATAGCTGCCTTTGCTGTTCCCTCGTCGGTGACGTGGTTTGCAGCGGTACCGGCCTTTGTTACTGAGCGTTGACATTTTGGGACTTCCTGAGACTGGTGAGCCATCGGGTGCCACCTCCACGTTGGATATGCTCTCTGACTTCAGCAGATCTGGCCTGGGAGACAAAGGAAAAACAGAGTTAACTCTGAGGTAGAACCAGCTCATGGGCTCAGCTTGGGCCCAGTGACTCAGTCAGCTGCCTCCAGTTCTGCTCTTTAGTCTCAGGGCTTTCTTTCCCTTCTGCTACTTGGCTGCTGGTGCCAACTCCTCCCCTCTCTCCCCTCACCCTTACCCCCCGCATGGGCCCTTCACTTCTGCTTTTGACCCCCATGCTCCCTGGTCCCTGTGACCACATGTGCTGCACCTTTGGGAGAAGACAGCGTGTTCCATTTACGTCTCATTGTGGGCCAGAGATGGTCCGTACGATTGTGTCCCACAGCTCCTCCGGGAATTAAGACAGAGCGGGGAGATTAGGGAGAATCACTGACAACTGTAAAGCATCTGCAGAGGTACCACCCATACACTGCTGCAAGCTGGGTTTTCCAGAGATCAACAGGCCCAAAAAGGGCTTTGGGCAGCAAAAAAGCTGTGTTTAAACTGACAGAGGGCCCTCTTTCTGTCCAGGGTCCCACTCCTTGGAGAAGGGCTGGTAAGATTCTGGCCTAGTAGTGCCTCCTATGGTTGATGGGGGACTCCTCCTATGTTTAACATGCCTACTGGGCCACTTGTTTTGCTGTTTTCTCTGTAATGCCATTCCTTGAGGAGAAAGGTGTTTGCTTAGAAAGAGCTGAGTGGTCACTTGTAACAGCTGGCCATGCACTGGCTCTCGAGACAGAGCAACGCCCAGGCGCTGGCCTTTGGGCAGGCTGGCTTGATGGGTGAGGCAGGGAGCTTTGCAGCCGTAAAATGCTTAGTTGGGAACAAGGGAGACTCAAGTCTACCTCCACCAGAGGGGTGAGCTGGAAACCTAGGTGGGTGCTCTCAAGGGAGCACAGGGCCAACATAGGTGAGTTACCTATCTCCCTTTCTCTCTTTCCCAAGCTGCCTCCCCAGGAGTGGCCCAGCAAGGCTGCTGGAGAGGCTTCGCTCCCGGAGAGCCAGCGTGTAACCTGTGGTGCGGGCGGCGGGCTGGCCAGCCCCACCATGGACAGGGGCCTAGCACAATGGGGCATCCGAGGCCACAATATAAACAGCATTGGCCAGTTTGTTTCAACTGCACAGGAATAAAGATCAGTCAGTGCTTGTTCATCAGCAGGCCTCCTAGCGGGTAGAACCCCAACAGCCGGGGAGACAGCACTAAGGGTTCGCCCACACTGCACGCTGAACAGTTATTCTGAAAGAGCTTATTAAGAAACAGCACGTCTACACTGCAGGGAAGCCTTAATTAGCAACCGTGCTGATCGTGGGGCAGTCAGACGAGGGCCCAGCTCACTCCTAGCTGGGCTGGCTCTGCTCTGCCCTGCCAGCAGGGCGCAAAGGACAGACCTGAGGCAAGCCGGCACATTACAGAACATGCACAGGGGACAGCAGACGTGTTGGGCAAGCCACAGTCATTTTCACCCAGCCCCGTTTCTCAGGCAAACCAGGCTGTCACTCTCGTCTCGCTCCCTGGTGAGGGCTTGGTTTTGTGCCGAGGTTTCTTACCGTTTGGTCTGGCTCCCTGGCTTGTGAGAGACCCCTTTCCTCTTCATCAGCTTCTCCACTGCATTGGGGTGGATGATGGGTCTGACGGGGTGCCGCTTGTAAGTGCCGGGATATTTCTTTTCCACGGCCTGTTCCCGTCTGGAATACGGAACAAAGAGCACAGCCCTAGTTTCCCCTCTGCCAAATGGAAGTGGCTGCTGGATGCAGTGGTGGGTGCAGTCTGGTGGTGGAGAGGGGCAAGGCCCCACACTCCACCCCGCTCGCTGGCAGGAGCACGGGGGAGGCACAGAAGGACAAGCCCCCGGACCCTGACCCCTCTCTCCAGCTGGCGTGCTGGGTGGGGAGCAGGGCAAGCTCTCATACCTTGGCCGTTCTCAGCATGAGCGCCAGGCCGGGGGCAGGGACTGCAGGGGGGAAGGGTGGGGAGAGGCCCCCCACACTGGCCCAGGACCCCGCAGAATTGTAATCCACCTCTGGCTGGGTGGAAAAGCAGCTGTGACCCTAGCGGTGACGCACCCAGGACTGACAAGGTGTGTGGCGTGTTCGGCACGTGGAAAGCTCTAGTGGTTTTCAGCTCTCTTTGCAGGAGGCAGGGGCCATGCGTGGCCCTGGTGCAGTTATGATACACTGTCTCCTCTCTTCACAGAGGGGCCGAGGGCAGGGTTTTGACACAGCTAGCAGCAAACTATGACAGCTCCTCTCTCCGTCATCAGCAACAGGGTGAACAGGAGATTTACACTAAGGCATTTGTCACACACTGGCCTTAAAAAGAATATCCCCAATCTGGACAATGACTTTGAGGAGTCTCCTGGTCTGCTACCCAGGTCTGGACCGCAACAGGGTGAACAGGAGATTTACACTGAGGCGTTTGTCACACACTGGCCTTAAAAAGGATATCCCCAATCCGGACAATGACTTTGAGGAGTCGCCTGGTCTGCTACCCAGGTCTGGACGCCCGCTGCTAGGGCCTGAGCCTGAAGGCCTACAGAGCAGTTTGGAAGGAACCCTGTTTATTCCCAGCGCAGAACCATCTCCTGCACAGGAGGCTCATATGCCCGTAGGCTCCCCTCTCCACAGCGATACATACTTGATGAGCTCCTTCTCCCGGACCTCCAGCTGCAGCATGATGGCACTGAGCTCCATGTATAAGTTATTGGCTCGCTCTAGCTTCCTCTCGTAATGTTCACGGATGTCCAACGCATGCCTGGGAACAAGGAAGGGAAACCGAGGCTCAAAGGGGCACCCCGGGACTCAGGAGGAAAGACGGGCAGAATGCGGGAGGAGTAAGCCAGAGACATTCTATGGCCTAGTCTTCACTGGGGTTTGCCTTGACAGGCCGACACGCGAAAGCCACCTCTGCTTTGAGGCTGTTCTCAGAGTATTTCTGCAGAAGCCTTCAGAAGAGTGTGCGCAAATGGGGACAAGCTCGAGGTTAATATTCAGACACAAAGGGAGCTGAGCAGCACCGTGTCAGTGACCCCAAAGGGGCAGAGTAGCAGAGGTGGGGGAGAGATGCTGACAGACCTGAGCTCTTCTCTTCGCCGACGAATCAGCTCTTCATCTAGCCGGTGGATGCAAGTTCCTTCACTCTTAATTTTCTCAAAGTGCTTCTTTACTTCTTCCCTCCACTCAGCCTGTGGGACGGCATTTTACGTTCACGGTTACACGGCACTGTGGTTCACGGCAGAGGCAACTCTGCAGCAGAGGAGTCTGTTCTGCTAGCACCGGGCATTCCCAAACTCCTCTTCCGCATGTCTCATCACGTGTCCGCCAAGGAGCCTCTCCCCGATCTGTCCCACCCCTGCAATACGGAGCCACCCTGCCACCCACCCATCCCAGGCCAGGCCTGCAGCTCCCTTTTGCTAGTCCAGCTCTGGGGCTGCCCCCGCAAGGACTGACAGCACGGCCTGAGTCAGGCAGAAGTGCAAACAGGCACCAGGCAAGTTCCTGCAACGCACAGTCCCAGCCTGCAAAATTCCCTGCTCAACTTCCCCCACCCTGTGAGCAGGGACGTGCCTGCTCGGTCCCAGCTCCCCCACACAGGGAAGCAAATGTCCACCTGGCATGAGGCTTCTCAAAGTCATTTCAGGTGGCCCGAGTCAGAGCTGAACTGTGCCGTCGATCCACTGTCCCTCAGGGAGCCTGGACTGTGAGATCCCCGCTCTCAGGGGCTGGCAATCCCGAGTTTGTCATTGCACCAGTGCTGGAGGCTCACAGGTCATTTTTTATTTTCTGTAATTAGATTGACCCCTCTGGCTGCCTGCTCCAGGCAAAGAGGAGACTGTGTGTGTGGAGCAGTTGGGGGAAGAGCCGCCCTCCCCCCCCAACCATTCTGAGGCTCCAAACTCTGAGCGGGAAATTCGAGAGGGCAAACCTGCCAGAGACAGGGCACTGGGTCTCCTCTACTGCAGGGAGAGGCCTAGGATTTTCCCAAGGTCAAGGAACTTCAGTGAGAACTGCCTCAGCTTCTGCCAGGCGTGACTAATCCCATGGCCACACGGAATATCTGGGGAGACATTTACAAATGTGTGCACCTGTATGGGCTGGGAAGGGAACTGTACCCTGGCTCCATGGTAAGTTACTTAATTCCTGCCAGAATTAAAGTCCCTGGGGGATAATTAATGCAAAACCCAAGGCAGGTAAACAAACCTGAAAATCCTCGGCCCACAACCCTCGCAGGGCGAACTGCCTCCCTGGGCTGGCACGGGCTGAAGAAGGCTAACAAACAAAGCACTGAGGGCTGTCGAAAGGGACCAGCCTGTCACAGGGGTATCACTCCTAGCTGATCCAAGGACTGGCCCGGAGGGATCGAGTCAGCAGCAAGAGCCTGGAGGGGTCTCCATGTCACAGACGGGTGACTGCCTGGGACGCTAAGGCTTACACATGAGCGGGTTAGCACTAGCAGGGTGCCATTGCTCTGAATGAATAGTACTTACGGAGCCTAGGAAAGCCAGCTGGCCGCTGGTTCACCCTCTCATTGCCCCCGAAAGAGGGTGGCAGGTGCTGAACTTAAGCCAGGGCTGCTAGAATGACCAGAGTGAATTGGAGCCTAACTCCCTGCTCTGTAGGGAGAAAATCACAGAACTCTGCTCCCAGGAAGACAGCAGGCAGAGACCTAGGCAGGGTGCATGCCCACAAGCAGGCCAGGAAGCCATGAGCAGGGCAGTTCTCTCGGGAAATGTGATGTCAGGGACTGAAAGTGGTCCCCACAGCACACCTGCATTCTGCCCCTGCTCCCCCCCACACAGTCAGCCCAAGCAGGTTGTGTAATGAACCTCACTGGTCTTCTTCCAGCAGCTGTATAGGATCAGCATTGCCCTGTTTCTCACGAAGCCCTCCCGTCCTGTCACATCAGCCCCCACAAACCAAGGCCAGGGCAGACCTGCCTTTGCCGCATGTGTGCAGCCCACCCAGGGCCCAAGTCCCAAGGTCTCAAACTGCTGCCAAGAATCCAAGGACATAAGCTCTGCTGTTCACTATAGCTCGCTCTGAATGCTTGTTTGGTCACTTCCCAAGTCTGTGGGTGCACCCTCAACCTGAAATAAGATATGCAATTTGAGTAGCACAAATTGTGCATCTTATTTTGAATCTATTTCGAAATAGCTGATTTTGAAAATTGGCGCATCTACACAGCACCAAATTTCAAAATAATGCGCTATTTGGAGCCATCCCTTAACCCTCGTGCAATGAGGCTTATCGGGATGGCTCGAAATAGAGCACCCGAAAACTATTTGGAAATAACGGGTGGCTCGGGTAGACGCAGGGTAGCTACTTCGGGATAGCTCTAGCATCCCAAAATAGCCGTGCAGTCTAGTCGTACCCTGTGAGGCCTGGTAGTGTGTCTGCTGGCACAGCATTAACCCCCCCCAAACAAGTCCCTCGCCCTGGGGCCCTAATGTGTAGAATCACACGTGGTGTACTCACCCACTTCGGAGCGTGTCATCCAGGGAACAGCTGACTGGGCCGGGAACTGGGACTTGGGATTCTGTCTGTCTGTCCCTTTGGATTGCTCCCTTACAGTCCTCAGGTCCCTTCACTGTTCTGCAAAGGCTCCTCCATCTACCCACCTGGCTGCCCTTCCCTGCTCCACCACAGTGTGGTGGTTCATCTGGCAGCTCTCTCTGCAGCCTGCAGCCAGATTCCC